TACGAGGAGAGACTACGGGAATTAAACCTCACTTCGTTGGAAGACTGAAGAGTTAGGGGGGAACATGATCACCACCTTCAAGATTCTCAAGAGAATCGACAGGGTAGATAAAGACAGGCTGTTTAACACAAGGGGCACACGCACAAGGGGACACAGGTGGAAACTGAGTGCCCAAATGAGCCACAGAACTTTTTTAGTGTCAGAGTGGTTGACAAATGGAATGCATTAGGCAGTGATGTGGTGGAGGCTGACTCCATACACAGTTTCAAGTGTAGATATGATAGAGCCCAGTAGGCTCAGGAACCTGTACACCTGTTGATTGCCGGTTGAGAGGCGGGACCAAAGAGCCAGAGCTCAACCCCCACAAGCACCACTAGGTGAGTACAACTAGGTGAGTGCACACACACACACACACACACACACACACACACACACACACACACACACACACACACACACACACACACACACACACACACACACACACACACACACACACACACACACACACACACACACACACACACACACACACACACACACCATGACAATGGGAGGACCAAGAATAGTAGTAGCAGTGATATACAACCCTCCACCAAATGACAGAAGACCAAGGCAAGAGTATGATAACAGCATCACGGCAGTTAACACTATAATTGAGAGGACAGCCTCTGCTGCATGTAGAAATAGATCCCACCTGCTCATTATGGGGGACTTCAATCACGGAAGGATAGACTGGGAAAACAAGGAACCGCATGGAGGTGACGATACATGGAGAGCTAAACTATTGGAGGTGGCGACAGGAAACTATCTAAGCCAGCATGTCAGGGAGCCCACTAGGATGAGAGGAAACGATGAACCAGCGAGACTCAACCTAGTCTTCATTCTGAACGACTCCGACATAAGGGAAATCGGTTTTGAGGCCCCAGTAGGAATGAGCGACCACAGTGTACTGGTGTTTGAATATCCGGTTGAGGAAGGGTTATTGAACTCGAGGAGGGATACCGAAAACAAAAGGGAAACCGAAACAAAAAGGCATTCCGAAAGGGAAACTATGAGGAGATAAGGAAATTCCTAACAGATATAGCATGGGAAACAGACCTCAGGGGAAAGACTGCCCAAGATATGATGGACTACATCACGCAGAAGTGCAAGGACGCAGCAAACAAGTTTGTCCCAGTCCAAAAGGAAAACAGTGAAATGAAGATGAGAAACCCATGGTTTAATCAGAGATGTGGGCTAGCTAAGCAGCAAAGTAAAAGGGCATGGAGAAACTATAGGAATAACAGGACACTTGAGAGCAGAGAAAGATACCAGAATGCCAGGAATGAATGTCAGGATGAGAAGAGAGGCAGAAAGACAATACGAAAATGACATCGCAAGCAAGGCAAAGACTCAGCTTAAATTGTTGCATAGCCACATCAGGAGAAAAACAACAGTAAAGGAACAGGTTATGAAATTAAGGATAGGGGCGGAAGGATTCACTACAAACGACAAGGAAGTGTGTGAGGAACTGAATAAGAAAATCCAGGTCTTCACATTAGAGCAAGGGGAAGTTCCAGAGATAAGAGAGGGAATAGCTAACCAGGAACCACTAGAAGAGTTTGAGATTACCAGCGGGGAAGTAAGGAAGTGTTTACTAGAGTTGGATGTGACAAAGGCTATAGGCCCAGATGGAATCTCCCCTTGGATACTAAAGGAAGGAGCAGAAGCCCTGTGCCTACCACTCTCCATAGTGTATAACAAATCACTAGTAAAAGGGGAACTGCCAAAAATTTAGAAGACTGCTAATGTAGTCCCGATATACAAGAAAGGGGATAGACAGGAGGCACTGAACTACAGGCCAGTGTCCCGAACCTGCATACCATGCAAGCTGATGGAGAAGATTGTGCGAAGAAAGCTAGTGGAACATCTGGAGCGAAAGAACTTTGTAACACAACACCAACATGGGTTCAGGGATGGCAGGTCCTGCCTCACAGGATTAATTGAATTCTACGACCAGGCAACAAAATTCAGGCAAGAAAGAGAAGGGCGAGCAGAAAGCCTTTGACACAGTACCACACCAGAGGCCAGTGAAAAAGCTAAAGATGCAGGCAGGAGTGAAAGGGAAGGTACTCCATTGAATAAGGGAGTACCTAAGCAACAGAAGACAGCGAGTCACTGTGAAGGGTGAGGTCTCAAATTGGCGAGACGTCACCAGTGGAGTCCCGCAGGGTTCAGTCCTTGGACCTATACTGTTTCTGATATATGTAAATGATCTTCCAGAGGGTATAGAATCGTTCCTCTCATTGTCTGCTGATGATGCAAAAATTAGGAGAAGGATTAAAACAGAAGATGATAGTAGGAGGCTACAAGATAACCAAGACAGACTGAATGAATGGTTCAACAAATGGCTGCTAAAGTTTAACCCGAGTAAATGCAAAGTAATGAAACTAGGCAGTGGAAACAGGAGGCCAGATACAGGATGCAGAACAGGAGATGAAGTACTTAATGAAACGGACAGAGAGAAAGATCTAGGAGTTGATATCACACCAAACCTGTCTCCTGAAGCCCACATAAAGAGAATAACGTCTGCGGCATATGCGAGGCTGGCTAACATCAGAACAGCCTTCAGGAACCTGTGTAAGGAATCATTCAGAACCTTGTATACCACGTATGAAAGACCAATCCTGGAGAATGCGGCCCCAACATGAAGCCCGTAGTATGTCAAACACAAGACGAAGCTGGAAAAAGTTCAGAGATGTGCCACTAGACTAGTCCCAGAACTAAGAGGCATGAGTTACGAGGAAAGGCTGCGTGAGCTGCACCTCACGACACTGGAAGGTGCAGATGTTTAAATCTGTGTAATTGCTTTGATCTAATTAATTCAGTTAATTTAGTTTTAATGTAGAGTTTCTTGCGTTTTATTATCAACTAAGAAAATCTATATATATATATATATATATATATATATATATATATATATATATATATATATATATATATATATATATATATATATATACATTAAAAAGTAAGATTAATAATTCTAACACGAATTTTCTCGATCTTTCTTACGTTTCTTTTCGCTGTTGATGGTAATTCAAAGATCAATTCTCCAAAATTCATTTTTATTTCTAGACTAGAAATAAAAATGAATTTTCGAGAATTGATCTTTGAATTACCATCAACAGTGAAAAGAAACGTAAGAAAGATCGAGAAAATTCGTGTTAGAATTATTAATCTTACTTTTTCGGTCATATTTAATATATATATATATATATATATATATATATATATATATATATATATATATATATATATATATATATATATATATATATATATATATATATATATATATATATATTTTCCTCACAAATTAGGTCAAAGTTGTAAAAACTATCACACACACACACACACATGATAGAGAAACAACAGGCAGCACTAAAACTAATTTTACTAATGGCTCCTGGTGATCACTGTGGCACTAATTGCTGTACCACTGCACCCGTTGCAACCTTTGTGATTTCCACAGCTGTGTGACGAAGAGTTTGTAAATACTCTGAGGTGTCTGGGACTTACTAATTATAATTGCCAATTAGTAGAGAAAACATATCTGAAATTATCTGTTTGTATTACCTAATTGTGTTTCTAAGAGGATGTATTTTTTTTTTTTACAGCATGGGTTCTATTCCTGTATTTATTTACACTTACAAATTGGTCCAAGTCGATAAAAAGTATTATTAAGTGGTAATAACTAAGATTGGTTCAGTAACGTTGCCGAAAATAAGTAACCTATCTCACACATATAAGTGGAAAGTGACGGTGTTTTAGTTTGTCCTGGGCCCTTATCAAGTCCTGGACGCTTTATCAAGTCCTGGAGCCTTATCAAGTCCTGGGCCCTTATCAAGTCCTGGACGCTTTATCAAGTCCTGGACCCTTATCAAGTCCTGGGCCCTTATCAAGTCCTGGACGCTTTATCAAGTCCTGGGCCCTTATCAAGTCCTGGGCCCTTATCAAGTCCTGGGACCTTATCAAGTCCTGGGCCCTTATCAAGTCCTGGGACCTTATCAAGTCCTGGACCCTTATCAAGTCCTGGGACCTTATCAAGTCCTGGACCCTTATCAAGTCCTGGGCCCTTATCAAGTCCTGGGCCCTTATCAAGTCCTGGACCCTTATCAAGTCCTGGACCCTTATCAAGTCCTGGACCCTTATCAAGTCCTGAACCCTTATCAAGTCCTGGACCCCTATCAAGTCCTGGACCCTTATCAAGTCCTGGCTTTTTATCTAGTCAATATGTATTCACCTAGTTGTATTCACCTAATAATGTCTGCGGGGGGGATGAGCTCTGCACTTTTTATTTTTTTTACCCCCACACGTGGGGGGGGGGATTAAAAAAAATAAATAATCCCTCCCCCCCCCCCCACACACACAGGAAGCAGCCCGTAACAGCTGTCTAACTCCCAGGTACCTATTTACTGCTAGGTAACAGAGGGGGCATCAGGGTGAAAGAAACTCTACCCATTTTATTCCTGTTACAACCGGGGATCGAACCCGGACTCGAGGATTACGAGCCCAGAGCGCTGTCCACTCAGCTATCAGGTTCCCTTAAGGATGTGAATCCTTATCATGTCAAGGACTTGATAAAAGGGTCCAGGATGGGTCTAAACATCGTCCCTTTCCTATCACGTATGAGTTTGTCTCCATATCTATTTAAACATTAATTCTCAGCCTTCAGGGGCCAGATTCACGAAGCTTTTACGTAAGTATTTACTCACTTATACATCCTTCTTCAATCTTTGACGGCTTTGGTTACATTTATTAAACAGTTTACAAACATGAAAACTTCCCAATCAACTGTTGTTATTGTTATAAACAGCCTCCTGGTGCTTCGGAGCTCATTAACTGTTTAATAATTGTAAACAAAGCCGCCAAAGATTAAGAAAAGATGGGACAGGTTCGTAAGTGCTTGCGTAACCGCTTCGTGAATCTGTCCCCAGAGTCGCTGCTTGACTAACCTCTTACTGTTGACCTGTTCGCTCTGCTCCCGCCTGACGGAGTTGTTGAAGGTCCAGGAGAAGGTGACGTCAGGAGGATTGGCGTCCACCTGACAGCTGACGTTCAGGGGCTCCAGGAGACCCACGCCCCTCAGGGAGGGACTGACAGAGCACCTAGGGGCGTCTACAGGGGCGGGAGGAGGAGGCGGGGAACAATACCATGTTACTGACGATCCACAAAGATGACGCTGAATGACAAATGTAAATATGAGTAATTTTGAATGTGTATATGTAGCATAAAGTTACTTAAATACTTACATATACGTTATACTTGACGTATAGTGAGGGGAGAGTCACTATACTTCACTATACTTGGAGTATAGTGCAGTACAGGAGAAACATTTTGACTTAAAAGAGGCTCACTACCCACTTCACTAAGTATCCCACTTACAAAAATCATTCACCATTTCTCTTACATTTGATGGTGATGTTGAGTGGCTCGCTGGTGGTGTCACCTTCCACGTTCGATGCCCGGCACTGGTAGAGTCCGGACCTCTCTCTGCGGACCTTCTGCAGTGCCAGAGTGGACTCACTGACGAGGACCCCGGCGGTGACGTTATGGGTCACCAGGTCCCCCTGTTGAGTACACACACACCAGGGGGTTAGTGCCCCCCCTGTTACTGCCTCAGTCAGGCGGTTAGTGCCCCCCTGTTACTGCCACAGTCAGGGGGTTAGTGCCCCACCCTGTTACTGCCTCAGTCAGGGGGTTAGTGCCCCCCTGTTACTGCCACAGTCAAGGGGTTAGTGCCCCCTGTTACTGCCACAGTCAGGGGGTTAGTGCCCCCCTGTTACTGCCTCAGTCAGGGGGTTGTGTGGCCCCTGTTACTGCCTCAGTCAGGTGCTTGTGTGGCCCTCTGTTACTGCCTCAGTCAGGTGTTACTGCCTCAGTCAGGTGTTACTTCCTCAGTCTGGTGCTTGTGTGGCCCCTGTTACTGCCTCAGTCAGGTGTTACTGCCTCAGTCAGGTGTTACTGCCTCAGTCAGGTGTTACTGCCTCAGTCTGGTGCTTGTGTGGACCCTGTTACTGCCTCAGTCAGGTGTTACTGCCTCAGTCTGGTGTTTGTGTGGCCCCTGTTACTGCCTCAGTCAGGTGCTTGTGTGGCCCCTGTTACTGCCTCAGTCAGGTGCTTGTGTGGCCCCTGTTACTGCCTCAGTCAGGTGTTACTGCCTCAGTCAGGTGTTACTGCCTCAGTCTGGTGCTTGTGTGGCCCCTGTTACTGCCTCAGTCAGGTGTTACTGCCTCAGTCTGGTGCTTGTGTGGCCCTCAGTTACTGCCTCAGTCAGGTGCTTGTGTGGCCCCTGTTACTGCCTCAGTCAGGTGTTACTGCCTCAGTCAGGTGCTTGTGTGGCCCCTGTTACTGCCTTAGTCAGGTGTTACTGCCTCAGTCTGGTGCTTGTGTGGCCCCTGTTACTGCCTCAGTCAGGTGTTACTGCCTCAGTCAGGTGCTTGTGTGGCCCCTGTTACTGCCTCAGTCTGGTGCTTGTGTGGCCCCTGTTACTGCCTCAGTCAGGTGTTACTGCCTCAGTCAGGTGTTACTGCCTCAGTCAGGTGTTACTGCCTCAGTCAGGTGCTTATGTGGCCCCTGTTACTGCCTCAGTCTGGTGCTTGTGTGGCCCCTGTTACTGCCTCAGTCAGGTGTTACTGCCTCAGTCAGGTGCTTGTGTGGCCCCTGTTACTGCCTCAGTCAGGTGTTACTGCCTCAGTCAGGTGTTACTGCCTCAGTCAGTTATTTGTGTGGCCCCTGTTACTGCCTCAGTCAGGTGCTTGTGTGGCCCCTGTTACTGCCTCAGTCAGGTGCTTGTGTGGCCCCTGTTACTGCCTCAGTCAGGTGCTTGTGTGGCCCCTGTTACTGCCTCAGTCAGGTGCTTGTGTGGCCCCTGTTACTGCCTCAGTCAGGTGTTACTGCCTCAGTCAGGTGCTTGTGTGGCCCCTGTTACTGCCTCAGTCTGGTGTTACTGCCTCAGTCTGGTGCTTGTGTGGCCCCTGTTACTGCCTCAGTCAGGTGCTTGTGTGGCCCCTGTTACTGCCTCAGTCAGGTGTTACTGCCTCAGTCTGGTGCTTGTGTGGCCCCTGTTACTGCCTCAGTCAGGTGCTTGTGTGGCCCCTGTTACTGCCTCAGTCTGGTGCTTGTGTGACCCCTGTTACTGCCTCAGTCAGGTGCTTGTGTGGCCCCTGTTACTGCCTCAGTCAGGTGCTTGTGTGACCCCTGTTACTGCCTCAGTCAGGTGTTACTGCCTCAGTCAGGTGCTTGTGTGGCCCCTGTTACTGCCTCAGTCGGGTGCTTGTGTGGCCCCTGTTACTGCCTCAGTCAGGTGCTTGTATGGCCCCTGTTACTGCCTCAGTCAGGTGCTTGTGTGACCCCTGTTACTGCCTCAGTCAGGTGCTTGTGTGACCCCTGTTACTGCCTCAGTCAGGTGCTTGTGTGGCCCCTGTTACTGCCTCAGTCAGGTGCTTGTGTGGCCCCTGTTACTGCCTCAGTCAGGTGTTACTGCCTCAGTCAGGTGCTTGTGTGGCCCCTGTTACTGCCTCAGTCTGGTGTTACTGCCTCAGTCTGGTGCTTGTGTGGCCCCTGTTACTGCCTCAGTCAGGTGTTACTGCCTCAGTCAGGTGCTTGTGTGGCCCCTGTTACTGCCTCAGTCAGGTGCTTGTGTGGCCCCTGTTACTGCCTCAGTCTGGTGCTTGTGTGACCCCGGTTACTGCCTCAGTCAGGTGCTTGTGTGGCCCCTGTTACTGCCTCAGTCAGGTGCTTGTGTGACCCCTGTTACTGCCTCAGTCAGGTGTTACTGCCTCAGTCAGGTGCTTGTGTGGCCCCTGTTACTGCCTCAGTTAGGTGCTTGTGTGGCCCCTGTTACTGCCTTAGTCTGGTGCTTGTGTGACCCCTGTTACTGCCTCAGTCAGGTGCTTGTGTGGCCCCTGTTACTGCCTCAGTCAGGTGCTTGTGTGACCCCTGTTACTGCCTCAGTCAGGTGTTACTGCCTCAGTCAGGTGCTTGTGTGGCCCCTGTTACTGCCTCAGTCGGGTGCTTGTGTGGCCCCTGTTACTGCCTCAGTCAGGTGCTTGTATGGCCCCTGTTACTGCCTCAGTCAGGTGCTTGTGTGACCCCTGTTACTGCCTCAGTCAGGTGCTTGTGTGACCCCTGTTACTGCCTCAGTCAAGTGCTTGTGTGGCCCCTGTTACTGCCTCAGTCAGGTGCTTGTGTGACCCCTGTTACTGCCTCAGTCAGGTGTTACTGCCTCAGTCAGGTGCTTGTGTGGCCCTTGTTACTGCCTCAGTCAGGTGCTTGTGTGGCCCCTGTTACTGCCTCAGTCAGGTGTTACTGCCTCAGTCAGGTGCTTGTGTGACCCCTGTTACTGCCTCAGTCAGGTGCTTGTGTGGCCCCTGTTACTGCCTCAGTCAGGTGCTTGTGTGGCCCCTGTTACTGCCTCAGTCAGGTGCTTGTGTGGCCCCTGTTACTGCCTCAGTCAGGTGCTTGTGTGGCCCCTGTTACTGCCTCAGTCAGGTGCTTGTATGACCCATGTTACTGCCTCAGTCAGGTGCTTGTGTGGCCCCTTTTACTGCCTCAGTCAGGTGCTTGTATGACCCCTGATACTGCCTCAGTCAGGTGCTTGTGTGGCCGCTGTTACTGCCTCAGTCTGGTGCTTGTGTGGCCCCTGTTACTGCCTCAGTCTGGTGCTTGTGTGGCCCCTGTTACTGCCTCAGTCAGGTGTTACTGCCTCAGTCAGGTGTTACTTCCTCAGTCAGGTGTTACTGCCTCAGTCAGGTGTTACTGCCTCAGTCTGGTGCTTGTGTGGCCTCTGTTACTGCCTCAGTCAGGTGTTACTGCCTCAGTCAGGTGTTTATGTGACCTCTGTTACTGCCTCAGTCTGGTGCTTGTGTGGCCCCTGTTACTGCCTCAGTCTGGTGCTTGTGTGGCCCCTGTTACTGCCTCAGTCAGGTGTTACTGCCTCAGTCTGGTGCTTGTGTGGCCCTTGTTACTGCCTCAGTCTGGTGCTTGTGTGGCCCCTGTTACTGCCTCAGTCAGGTGCTTGTGTGGCCCCTGTTACTGCCTCAGTCAGGTGCTTGTGTGGCCCCTGTTACTGCCTCAGTCTGGTGCTTGTGTGGCCCCTGTTACTGCCTCAGTCAGGTGCTTGTGTGACCCCTGTTACTGCCTCAGTCAGGTGCTTGTGTGACCCCTGTTACTGCCTCAGTCTGGTCCTTGTGTGGCCCCTGTTACTGCCTCAGTCTGGTGCTTGTGTGACCCCTGTTACTGCCTCAGTCTGGTGCTTGTGTGGCCCCTGTTACTGCCTCAGTCTGGTGCTTGTGTGGCCCCTGTTACTGCCTCAGTCAGGTGCTTGTGTGGCCCCTGTTACTGCCTCAGTCAGGTCCTCTCTCTTAGTCAATATTTCTCTTGTTACTCTCTCTTCCTCCTTATCCATGTTTTCTCTCACACTCTCCTTCTCTCCCTTGTTTGGTCCGCCTCGTCTCCACAGTACAGGTTGTTAAGTGGTCTCCGGTCATTAGTGAAGGTACACGGGGCTGACGGCGATTAATCTCCCACAACTACGGCCCAATCGCTTCCTGACGTCCGCCCGTAATAGCTTCGCTCCCAGTCAAAATGTTCACATATAATATATATTATTTCTAATATATTATTTCTATGTGTGGCTGAAAGGTTCAGTGATCATGTCACGAATCTTGTGAGAGTTTCTATTGTTCTTCACCACTTGCGAAGGTAGTTGGGCAATCTTCTTTGCAGTTTTCTTATGACGTGAGGCAGGGAGGGAGTGGATAGACAGTGGATGGGTGTAGGTTCTGTACCTTAAGTGGGAGCAGGTGGTTGATCAGTCCAGCAACCAGGAGGCCTGGTCGACGACCGGGCCGCGGGTGACGCTAAGCCCCGGAAGCACCTCAAGGTAACCTCAAGGTAGGTGAAGGGGCGAGGTGTTGTGTAAGGTCGAGGTCATATCTCTAAGTCTGGGGAG